GGATAAAATAAACACGCGGACTTTACGCCTCCTCTCCCATATTTGCCTCTCTCTCAACATCAAAACAACAAACTAATGCAGGTATATTTTGATTTAAAGCTTTCGTGACTGCAGTAATTCATATTCTTAGCTCTATCGGTAAAGTCACGTTCAAGGGAAACAATAAATATATTTTATTATTATAAATATATTTTATTATTTTATTGTTTCCCTTGAACGTGACTTTACCGAAAGAGCTAAGAATACAATGCAGGTATAGTTTACACATCCCTTCAGCCGCACGGCCTTCTGGGATATTTGTTTGTTTGCTTAGCTACTACCCAAGCAGCATTTGGTTTAATTCGAGCAAAAAATATATATAATAAAATCTGTACCGGTGTCTCATCAGCAGGGTCTGGCTTTGCTGGGGAAAGATCCGGGGCGCCTTCGGTCAGGGCAATTTGGTGGCAAGGCAATTTACGCCTTCGCCGTTTATTTAATCATTCACACCAGCGCTTGCGGACGGAATTAAGCGCCTTGCACGTTCACGGCGAGCTGATGCGACTGGGTGTTTGTAACAAGTTAATTGCCCCAACGCGGCTCGTAACGCTCCCATTGGGGCGCTATCAATTCACAGGTCGCACCTTTGCGTGGTGAGCGGTGGCGCAGTGGTGAGCGCATCATCGAAGCCCCGCGTCCCCGTCTGTGTTCGATTCCGGCTCGCGGCGGCGAATGGAAATTACCTCGATTCGTGGCTGCTGCTGCTGAACAGATGCTGCTCCGAAATTATCAAATGAATTGAACAAAACAACAAACGTTGATTCAATGAATCGTGAGCTTGGCGATAGGTGGCGCTGCGGTTAGCGCACTGCGCTCTGAAACCCAACCCTATGCCAACCGGATACCTGAGTTGGATTCGTGGCCAGGGTAAGCATCAGTGGCGCGTGATCTCTGAACCGGTCTCGCCTCGCCACCTCCACCAACCTGCACCGACCAGCGTGGTGAAGTATATTAAACACCACCCAACCCCCACTCCACTTTGACTGACGTGGTGTTGGGGGAAGCCTTCATCTAGCAGTGGAGGATTGGCAGTGCGCTGTACATTACAGATGCAAAAAATACATTACGTCTCTTTGTCAATCCACTTGCAGGAGACCAATGGCCGTTCTTCATACCACGTGTCATAGGCGACGTTTCGGGCAATGTGGCCCTCCATCATAGCACCACGTGCAACGAAGAAGGACCATTGCCCGAAACGTCGTCCATTTTATATACATATTTATTTCAGGACCCACACACATTGTGATACACAAATGCGTTGAGGATTTTTTTTTTATCACAGTACCACCACGCACATTGCATAAAATGAAAGTCTCGTACAGAGTATACGTGACATATATATGCTTGACGTAATGAATGCATGAACAATTGGACGATACATGATGCCAATGTGTGCAGATGAGTCCGCGTGTGCGCCGAAGCTCACGCCGCACGCGGGCCATGCACGTGGGCGAATCGCTGCCGCGTGGCAGCCGAGTGAGCGATGTGGCCACACGGAGAATAGACACGAGAAGGGAGAGGCAGGGGAGAGAGAGTGATGGACAGGGAAAGAGTGAGAGACAGACAGGGGAGAGAGCGAGAGCGAGACACGGTGGCATCGATACACGGGAAGGGGAGAGAGGAGGGGAGGGAGAGTGATGGACAGCGAGAGAGAGAGAGACAGAAGTAAAGCGAGATATGGAGACAAAGATACACGGGGAGGGCAGGAGAGTGAGAGTGATGGACAGGGAGATAAAGACACACACACATACACAGGGGGAGAGAGACACGGAGACAAAGATTAGCCTGACAGACTGCTAGCGATCACCTATGAAGGCCCCCAGCACGTGCGGCCACAACAACAACAAAAACGCCCGTCCGAATGTCTCCCCAGAGCTGATGTTTCAAGATGTCGCAGATTAAGGCCGAGGCAGGGGTGGGTGGCCCGGCACCGGCTCTGATAACCGCTGCTGACGTTCACTGTGTCCGGGGAATCGACAGCACGACGCCGCGTTCCGAGAGTCATTGCGCTGATCACTGCGCCACCGCTCCAACAAAAACTAAAACAAAGCTCCCACCCACCCGTATGGACTGAACAATTTGTTGGGTGTCAAGGGCTGTTAGCGAGCTCTGATGAAAGCCGGAACGGCACGCGAGGGGGCAGTTGGGTGGGTGGCCGGCACCACGCCCGGCCGCCTTTGCCTCCCGCAGTGATGATTGTTAACACATCGCACCGGGTACTCATTTGAGGCCGGGTCGACCTAGGGGAAGCCCAGCACCGGTTCAGATAATCGTCACCGGGTGTTGGCGTGAGCGGGACTCGAACTTCTGGTCGCCGGGTTCCAAGCGCCGCAGCGCGATAACCACTGCGCCACCGCTCCTCCACGCTCGTACACACGCAACGCTCTCTCTCTCTCTCCCACTTCTAGGAACTCCCCCCCCTCTCTCTCTCTTCCGCCCTCCCCGCCTCTCTCTCCCCCTTTCTCTCCCACACACAACTATCTCCCCCTATCTCTCTCCCCCCTCTCTCTCCCCGCTCTCTCCCCCCTCTCTCCCCGCTCTCTCCCCGCACTCTCTCTCTCTCCCCCTCTCCTCCCTCTCTCTCCCCCCTCTCTCCCCCTATCTCTCTCCCCCTGTCTCTCTCCCCCTATCTCTCTCCCCGCTCTCTCTCCCCCTCTCCTCCCTCTCTCTCCCACACACAGCTCTCCCCCCTTTCTCCCCTCCCCCCCTCTCTCTCTCTTCCGTGCGCGCGCTCTCTCCCACACATCTCTCTCTCGCTCTTATTCTTCTAACACACGTCTCCATTATTTATTTATTTCGTGCCACAAGGTCGCGTGTTGGATCGCAGCTAAGCGAGCGCGAATGTGATTACGTTACAGCGTTCGTCTTGTGCACGCGCGCGTGTATATATATACGTAGTTGTGTGTACACGCACACGTGCACGCGCATACGTACGCAAGCGTGCGTCATCGTATCTTTCATATCTCTCTCTTGCTGTGTGTGTGTGCACGCGGGACGCGGTAAATAGAATAATAATAAGAGCAATGCTGCAGCTGCAAGCCGTGTATGCGCGGTTTGTGGAAGAGATCCTCCTCAAGGATGAAACATCAACCGTAGGTAGCGTTGAAAGTGTGTCTCCCTCCCCTGCTGTTCCAATGCTTCGACGTGAGATTCCAGTCACGCAGGTCGGGTGATAGGCTGACTTGGCTGGCTAACTGGCTGGATAACTAACTAGCTGGATAAATAACTAGCTGGCTAACCAACTGGCTGGGTGGCTGGCGAATTGGCTGACTGGCTGGCGAACTGGCTGGTAAACTACTTGACTGGCTGGCGAATTTCGCCGCTAAATGAATGTGCTGGTTGGTTCGCTGGCTGGCGAAGCAGCCGGCGAACTGATAGTCGAGTTGAATCGCCAATTGGCTGGCTGGCCAAACAGGCTGGCTCGACGTTGTTGAAGAATTTTTGGAAGGTCACCTGCTTCGACTCTCAGTAGGGGATGTCAACTGCTTCGACTCTCAATAGGGGATGTCACCTGCTTCGACTCTCAATAGGGGATGTCACCTGCTTCGACTCTCAATAGGGGATGTCAACTGCTTCGACTCTCAATAGGGGATGTCAACTGCTTCGACTCTCAATAGGGGATGTCAACTGCTTCGACTCTCAATAGGGGATGTCACCTGCTTCGACTCTCAATAGGGGATGTCAACTGCTTCGACTCTCAATAGGGGATGTCACCTGCTTCGACTCTCAATAGGGGATGTCACCTGCTTCGACTCTCAATAGGTGATGTCACCTGCTTCGACTCTCAATAGGGGATGTCAACTGCTTCGACTCTCAATAGGGGATGTCACCTGCTTCGACTCTCAATAGGGGATGTCACCTGCTTCGACTCTCAATAGGGGATGTCACCTGCTTCGATTCTCAATAGGGGATGTCACCTGCTTCGACTCTCAATAGGGGATGTCACCTGCTTCGACTCTCAATAGGGGATGTCAACTGCTTCGACTCTCAATAGGGGATGTCACCTGCTTCGACTCTCAATAGGAGATGTCACCTGCTTCGACTCTCAATAGGGGATGTCACCTGCTTCGACTCTCAATAGGGGATGTCAACTGCTTCGACTCTCAATAGGGGATGTCACCTGCTTCGACTCTCAATAGGGGATGTCACCTGCTTCGACTCTCAATAGGGGATGTCACCTGCTTCGACTCTCAATAGGGGATGTCAACTGCTTCGACTCTCAATAGGGGATGTCACCTGCTTCGACTCTCAATAGGGGATGTCACCTGCTTCGACTCTCAATAGGAGATGTCACCTGCTTCGACTCTCAATAGGGGATGTCAACTGCTTCGACTCTCAATAGGGGATGTCACCTGCTTCGACTCTCAATAGGGGATGTCAACTGCTTCGACTCTCAATAGGGGATGTCACCTGCTTCGACTCTCAATAGGGGATGTCAACTGCTTCGACTCTCAATAGGGGATGTCAACTGCTTCGACTCTCAATAGGGGATGTCAACTGCTTCGACTCTCAATAGGGGATGTCACCTGCTTCGACTCTCAATAGGGGATGTCAACTGCTTCGACTCTCAATAGGGGATGTCACCTGCTTCGACTCTCAATAGGGGATGTCAACTGCTACCGCTTGTGGCGGGTGTCAACAGCGAGTGCCCGCTTCTCTATGGCACTTGCGAAGAACGCCGAGTGGATATTCAGATCGCCGAGAGAGTATAAAACCACCACCCCACCTCTTCCTCCTCCTCCTTGGAAAGCCGAGCTGCGTTTCGCGCGCGGCCCGGTTCCAGCTCGCCTGATGTGGTAAGTCGAGGAACCTCGGCACGGCTCAGCCGGGACCGGAGTGCGTCTCGGGACCCTCCTGGCACGCGGTCGTGTGAACGCGGCGAACGAGTTGTTCGATTTAATTGGCCTAAAAGTTCGAAGTGGTTCTAATCGAGATAAGTGGTGAACGCGGCGGTGGGCGGTGGGGGGGGGGGGGGGTGCTGGTGGGGACCAAATGGATGGCAACTGGACCTGGGGTGTCGATGACTCCAACGACACGCGGCCACTCGCCGAGCCGCGGCGGCGTTACTCAGTGTTCACCATCCTGACGCTCACGCTGCTGGCCATGCTCATCGCGGCGACGTTCGTGTGGAACTGCCTCGTGATCGTCACAATCATGCGCGTGAAGACCTTCCACCGCGTGCCGCACAACCTCGTGGCGTCGCTCGCCGTGTCCGACCTCCTCGTCGCCGCCCTCGTCATGCCCCTGGGCCTCGTCAAGGAGCTCCAGGGCAGGCGCTGGATGCTGGGGCCGCTCCTCTGCTACGTGTGGGTGTCGTGCGACGTCCTCTGCTGCACGGCGAGCATCTGGAACGTGACGGCCATCGCCCTCGACAGGTACTGGTCCATCAGCCGCCACCTGCAGTACACGCTCAAGGGCAGGCGACGCGCCTCGACGCTCATGATATCCACAGCGTGGCTTCTGTCGGCGATCATCTCGCTGTCGCCCCTCTTCGGCTGGGGCAATGACTACTACTCGCCCGAGCTGCTCGAGTGCCACGTGAGCCACCAGCCCTCGTACGCCGTCTTCTCGACGGTGGGAGCCTTCTACTTGCCCCTCTGCGTGGTGCTCTTCGTCTACTGGAAGATCTACAAGGCGGCGCGGCTGGGCGTGGGCAAGCGGCAGCAACGCAACGCCGTAACGCCGATGCTTCCCCAGCAGGAGGAGGTGATAATGGTGAGAGGATGCACCACCACCACCACCCTCGCATTGTGTCGCCTCTGCCGCGAGAGAAGGATGAAATGTCAACTGAGCCGGTTTGTTCTCAACCTCGTTTTGCCTACCCCCCCCCCACCTTTTTTGTTGAATTGTGTTTCAATCGAGTTTACGCAGCGGCTCCATCCTTCCGTGATCCACCAGCCCCCCTCCCCGCCCCCCGTGGTTCTACACGCACACCCCGTCTCAGGTTAGGGATCTCACCCACAAACATGATCCTGGGAACGTAGCGACCGTCCGGAGCCAGGTTCTGATCGTTGGGCTCGGCCTGTAGAGACATTGGAATGAAATGTTGAAACGAGATGAAGGGTGCAGCCCTGCAATTGTCCGCTCACGACGCTGCTGGCGGAATGGCCCCTCCCTCTAGAGGGAGCTCCACAACAGTGGGGCTCATCATTGTTTTGGCTGCTGTACCCCCTTTGCGAGTATACCCCCCCCCCCCCCGTTGCCTGACCCCAACATGCTTCTGAGAAATAAACGTATGAATAATTTACATCAATATTTTAACCATGTGTTAATTTTGATGAGCTAGTTAGTAACCGCAAGCGAAATTTTAATAAAAAAAACATGCAACGAAATCTCCGCATGCGTGACGCAATGTGTTCTCGCTCGCTGGTCTTGGAAACCGATTTGTTGACCATCAACGAGTTTAAAAAAGTCGATCATACCGTTCTAGGCTACCATGTGGATTCGAAACGTATCGTAGGCATTTCACATTGACAATATTTCACCACACTGGTCAGTTGGTTAAGACGGGTCGCGGGGAGCATAGAAGTACAGAGCAATAATTTATGTGGATGCACCGCCCCTCAACTGCCCACGCCGTATCGCCGCACGCGGCAAACCTACAGCACCTGTTATGCATGCCGGTTCGGCCCGAGCCAAATCGCAGTCCACGCTTCACCACGACTGATGATGAGTGAATAAAAGCACCGGGCTGGTCAACGGACTATAGCGTTGGCGGATGCTTCACCGCTGTCCTAACTCATCAGCAAGCCGCGGGACCTCGTGCACACGGAGTCCAGTAGTCGGGTGCGCGATGTGGCGACGCTTGCCTATCACCCAATAACCCGGGGACGTGAGCGCCCGACATCTGGCCAGAACCTGCGAAGATAATCGGAGCTCGGCCTGGATCGTGCGTGGACGCACGGACATCCTTGCAGGCTTTAACACTGCGGTGCTCAGCAGTGCCAGGATGAAGCTCGTGCGGGGCCTGTAGCATGATGTCATAAAGGGGCCCTAAAAAAAAAAACGAAAATATTCAAACACAAATTTTATACTTGCATAGTAAAGTAATTGGATTTTTTCATTCGCTATACAGCCAGGCAATACGACAAATCACTAACTTTAAACATCCAGTCGCTCATTAAAGTTGAAGGCGGTATAGTACTATAGTAATAGAGCAAGTGCAGAATAACTGAACCGGAATTGACAGCTTGAAATCATTTAGTGCGGGGACCGTAGCATATGTCGCTACTTTTGCTACGAGGATCATCCGGCACTGGTGCTCAGTCTAAGATAAAGATTCTCCGTGTGTAGCCTTACAGTGGGGAAAAAAGTATTTGATCCCCTGCTGATTTTGTACGTTTGCCCACTGACAAAGAAATGATCAGTCTATAATTTTAATGGTAGGTTTATTTGAACAGTGAGAGACAGAACAACAACAAAAAAATCCAGAAAAACGCATGTCAAAAATTGTATAAATTGATTTGCATTTTAACGAGGGAAATAAGTATTTGACCCCCTCTCAATCAGAAAGATTTCTGACTCCCAGGTGTCTTTTATACAGGTAACGAGCTGAGATTAGGAGCACACTCTTAAAGGGAGTGCTCCTAATCTCAGCGTGTCACCTGTATAAAAGACACCTGTCCACATAAGCAATCAATCAGATTCCAAACTCTTCACCATGGCCAAGACCAAAGAGCTCTCCAAGGGTGTCAGGGACAAGATTGTAGACCTACACAAGGCTGGAATGGACTACAAGACCATTGCCAAGCAGCTTGGTGAGAAGGTGACAACAGTTGGTGCGATTATTCGCAAATGGAAGAAACACAAACGAACTGTCAATCTCCCTCGGCCTGGGGCTCCATGCAAGATCTCACCTAGTGGAGTTGCAATGATCATGAGAACGGTGAGGAATCAGCCCAGAACTACACGGGAGGATCTTGTCAATGATCTCAAGGCAGCTGGGACCATAGTCACCAAGAAAACAATTGGTAACACACTACGCCGAGAAGGACTGAAATCCTGCAGCTCCCGCAAGGTCCCCCTGCTCAAGAAAGCACATATACATGCCCGTCTGAAGTTTGCCAATGAACATCTGAATGATTCAGAGGACAACTGGGTGAAAGTGTTGTGGTCAGATGAGACCAAAATGGAGCTCTTTGGCATCAACTAAACTCGCCGTGTTTGGAGGAGGAGGAATGCTGCCTATGACCCCAAGAACACCATCCCCACCGTCAAACATGGAGGTGGAAACATTATGCTTTGGGGGTGTTTTCTGATAAGGGGACAGGACAACTTCCCCGCATCAAAGGGACGATGGACGGAGCCATGTACCGTCAAATCTTGGGTGAGAGCCTCCTTCCCTCAGCCAAGGCATTGAAAATGGGTCGTGGATGGGCATTCCAGCATGACAATGACCCAAAACACACGGCCAAGGCAACCAAGGAGTGGCTCAAGAAGAAGCACATTAAGGTCCTGGAGTGGCCTAGCCAGTCTCCATAACTTAATCCCATAGAAAATCTGTGGAGGGAGCTGAAGGTTCGAGTTCCCAAATGTTAGCCTCGAAACCTTAATGACTTGGAGAAGATCTGCAAAGAGGAGTGGGACAAAATCCCTCCTGAGATGTGTGCAAACCAAGTGGCCAACTACAAGAAACGTCTGACCTCTGTGATTGCCAACAAGGGATTTGCCACCAAGTACTAAGTCATGTTTTGCAGAGGGGTCAAATACTTATTTCCCTCATTAAAATGCCAATCAATTTATAACATTTTTGACACGCGTTTTTCTGGATTGTTTTGTTGTTATTCTGTCTCTCACTGTTCAAATAAACCTACCATTAAAATTATAGACTGATCATTTCTTTGTCAGTGTGCAAACGTACAAAATCAGCAGGGGATCAAATACTTGTTTCCCTCACTGTAAGAGGCTTTGTTTGGGGGGGAGTGCTGTCGACGAACGGGAACCCATGAATGCCGGCACGGCACACGAGAGGGGTTGGTGGCCAACGCTACGTGCCGGCCGCCTTTGTCTCCCCAGTGGCGACGTTTGCACACCGCACCAGGTATGCATTTTAGGCTGAGTCGACCTAGGGGGAGGCACCCAGGACCGGTTAAGATAATTGTCTGTCACCGGTGTTGGCCGTGAGCGCGAATCGAACTCGGTTCGCCGGGTTTGTCGAGCAGCGTCCTAACCGCTGCGCCACCGCTCCCCACTGCGGGGCTGAGTGGTGGACGCCACACGGCACATTGCTGTACTGTCCTTCTATGCTCCCACGACGTCTATAGCGAAATACAGTGAAGCTCTCCATGAGTCACGGGACGGAGCGAGGACTTCATCCAGCAGCGGATTAATGTTGGGGATCATTAACATTCCCACGCAACGTGGTCGTATGGCGTACCGGATTATCACTATGAAATACTGCATAAGAAGCTCCGCCAAAGTATAGGCGCGCCGACGGCTAAACGTGCTCCCTCTATCGATAAAATTAAACGTATCTGGTGTCACAAACGTACCTGAGTATATAAAACGTACACCCCCCCCCCCCCCCCCCAAACGTTTTGGTAATAAACCAAAAATAGAAGGTGGAGAATCCGGTAAATATGCTCTCGTAAGAAATTCAACGAGAGAGCGAGACGCGAAAGTGCAAAGAACAAACACATTCAATAGGGCAACTATCTAATTTCGCAGGCTAAAGGATGCGTCGTGGGTGTTAAGCGGAGTTTGTTTCTCGGGGGGGGGGGGTGGTTGTGTTCTGGCCGTAATGAAATCTTGAAGAGTCACTCAAGTGGGAAATGCAGAGTTGAGCGCGTGGATTTTATGCCATCCTTAAGACACTGGTTTCAGCATGGGTAGGTCCATCAGCACAAGTGCGGAAAAAAAAGACGTGTCCTGTTTGTTAAGAATGTCATCTCTCGCGCACAAAACACAGACAGCCTTTAACAGACTGTTGGGGCAAGTGCTGTTCGCGAGCACCTACAATGACCGGCACGGCTCACGAGGGGGTGGGTGGCCGGCACCACGCCCGGCCGCCTTTGTCTCCCCAGTGGCGACGTTTACACACCGCACCAGGTTACTCATTTGAGGCTGAGTCGACCTAGGGGAGGAGGCCCAGGAACCGTTCCAGATCAATCTTCACCGGTGTTGGTCGCGAGCTGGAATCCGAGCTCGGGACCGCCGGGTTTCGTAGTGCCGCGCGCTAACCACTGCGCCACCGCTCCCCACGACATACGCGCGTGCACACGCACGCACGCGCGCGCGTGGAGGGGTCGGTTGTTTGCTAGAGGGCAGTGCGCGCTTCGTGGATTCCACGAGCGCACGCCACATACATCACCAGCCGTCGCTACCACCGCTTCAGGTGGCAATGCTGTTGCCCGAAACGGTTCCTATCCCTCTCCCTGTCGACGCGGGCAACAGCAGTGAATTTATAACACCATTCCCACAAGATCAGGAGCAGTAAAGTGTTGTTATTAATGATTGTTTTAATTTATGTCAAGGGAAAGTAGAAGGTGCGTATTATTCTTGCGTGATGAGAACGTCTTCTTAATTATGACCTTTAAAATAATGGGAATTATTTTTTGCGATTGACGATTTTTCGATTTTACGTACCGTTTTTCAGGGACTAAATCCTAATCGTAAATTGAGGAATGCCTGTATTAAGGTTTTTTTTCTGGGTTAAATATTAATAGAAAAATATATAAGTTGTTCAGTTTAACACGTAGGCACTCGCGACTAATATCATCCATGATACAGGGTTTTGGGGTTAAATCGCGTAAACATAAATGTGTCGTTAAACCCGCCACCACCCGACACAGCCAATTAGTCACGTTACACACGTAGAAACTAAACTTGACAATCAGTTGCTACTTCAGCAAACCGGCGTGTTTTCGAGTAAAACCCACGACATTTACAATTCGAGGACGAGGTTCTGCTCGTGATTACAACCAGCTTCATCAGGCGATTAGCCCGGATTGTGAAGAAGTCTTCCCGTTGTTGCGATAACCGCTTGAAACGAGTGTGGTTACGCTTGAGTAAGTAATTCACTCTCATTAAGTAAGCTTATTCACTCTTAATTGGCAGTATATACAAATCGCCGTTGACTAAAGTTGAATCCGCCTCGAGGCGGTACCAGCTTCTGATGTGGCCCCATGGACTGTTATCGATTATACACCTGACGTGCACTTGGGTTGCATGCAACTTGGGTTGCATACAACTGGTGGCATGCAACTGGTGGCATGCAACTTGCCCCCTTGATAAAAAGTCAAGTCAATGAAGCGACCGGCGTAGCAGCCTTCAACAGTAGGCGGGGCCGGGGTCAGAGGTCGAGCAGAATGCGCGAGAGAGACGCAAGCTGATATCAGACATTTTCTCATCCTGCCGAGCCTCGAACATTTGTTGACATTTGTTGACCGATGTTTATTTAGAATTGCCCGTGTGGTGGCCTTCAACACTCAGTGCGTGCGTGTGTGTGGGGGGGAGCGGTGGCGCAGCGGTTAGCACGCTGCGCTACGAACCCGGCGAAAACCGAGTTCGATTCTCGCGTCACGACCAACACCGGTGACGATTATCTGGATCGGTGCTGGGCCTCTCCTAGGTCGACTCAGCCTAAAATACTCTCCAACACACCGGCGTGCTGAAGTAGCAGTAACAAAACAAAGTTGAACGCGTAGGCTTTCCCGTAACGAATTGTGTGTACAGCACACACACCGGTGTGTGTACTAGTAAATAATTGGCACGTTTTAGTTTACTAATTGGCTGTGTCGGGTGGTGGCGGGTTTAACGACACATTTATTACGCATCGAGGAGCAAGTCGCCCCTCCCCCCATCCCCCGCTGTGAGTCGGCGTTGTTCGCAGGCAACTCGAGTTTGACGCCACTGCCGCCTTCATTCTCGAACACCGCCCATCATCATCATCATCATCGTTTCTTCTAGCGGCGGTGTCGTCCACCTCTCCGCTTACTCTCCTGAGCAGCCGTCAACCAGCAGTGGATAGATCGGGGCACAGCATCATTGTGATTTTGACGTTTTGTTTTAATGTGTCTGTAGCCTCTCTCTCCCTCTCCTTCCACTTTCCTCTCTCTATCTCTCTGTATCGCTCTTCCACCCTTTCTTTCCCACTCTCTTTCTCCCGCCGTCTCTCTCTCTCTCTCTGCCTATCTCTCCATCTCCCACCCCCCTCTCTCCCTCCCTCCCTCCCTATCTCTGTCTACATATATCGCTCCCTATTTTTCTCCATGTGTCTCTCCATCCCCCCGCCTCTCTGTCTCTTTCTCTCTTCCCCCCTCTCTATCTCCCTGCCTCTATCTCTCCCCTTATCTCTCTATCTCCCTGCCTCTATCTCCCTGCCTCTATCTCTCCCCCTCTCTATCTCCCTGCCTCTATCTCTCCCCCTCTCTCTCTCCCTGCCTCTATCTCTCCCCTTATCTCTCTATCTCCCTGCCTCTATCTCCCTGCCTCTATCTCTCCCCCTCTCTATCTCCCTGCCTCTATCTCTCCCCCTCTCTATCTCCCTGCCTCTATCTCCCTCCCCGTCTCTCCCCGTCGATCTCTCTCCCCCTTCCGCGTCTCTCTCACACCATCTCTCTCCACCCCCCCGCGTCTCTCTCCCCCGGCCCCCCACTCTCCACCCCCCCGCTCCCCACGAGGAGGCCAAGCAGTCGTCGTCGCACGAGGCCCGAGTGGCGTTCGCGGCCCGCCACGCCGCGGTCTCCTTCCAGGCCGCCGAGGGCGACACGTGGCGAGAGCACAAAGAGAAGCGAGCCGCACTGATGGTCGGCATCCTCATCGGAGTGTTCGCCCTCTGCTGGATTCCCTTCTTCCTGAGCGAGCTCGCAGCGCCGCTCTGCCTCTGCGCCCCTCCTCCGCTGTGGCAGAGCGTCTTCCTGTGGCTCGGCTACTCCAACTCGTTCTTCAACCCGCTCATCTACACGGCCTTCAACAAGAACTACAACAATGCGCTCAGGAATCTCGTGCCGTGCGCGCAGCGCTGATGCGCGCACGGTGGGGGGGAGGAGAGGGAGGAGCAGAAGGTGGAGGAGAGGGTGGAGGAGAGGATGGAGTAGGAGAAAGAGGATGAGGAGGAGATGGAGGAGGAGAGGGTGGAGTAGGAGAAAGAGGATGAGGAGAGGGTGGAGGAGATGGAGGAGGAGATGGAGGAGAGGGTGGAGTAGGAGAGGGTGGAGTAGGAGAAAGAGGATGAGGAGATGGAGGAGGAGAGGGTGGAGTAGGAGAAAGAGGATGAGGAGAGGGTGGAGGAGATGTAGGAGGAGGTGGAGGAGATGGAGGAGGAGAGGGTGGAGTAGGAGACGGTGGAGTAGGAGAAAGAGGATGAGGAGAGAGTGGAGTAGGAGTGAGAGGAAGAGAAAAAGGAGGGGAGGGAGGAGTGGGAGGAGGAGGTGGATGACGATATAGAGGAGGAATGGGAGGAGGAGTGAGAGGACTCGGAACCCAGTAAACAGAACTTTGGAACAACGTTCGGCCAACGTTGGTGCGACGGTTTCAACCGCATGCCGACGTTGGCCCAACGTTGCATCCTTACCGGGAAGAGGAGGACAATGAGGATCACAAAGATGAGGAGGTGTGGAGGAGGAGATGGTGGGTCGATGTATTATTCATCACAATGAGACGTTTCTGTTCAGTCCGTCTGTTCAGGAATGGATTCTTCTGTGCTGCTGTTGTTGATGTTGGTGGGAGCAGGAGCAGCATGATGAGTAATCATCGTCAGCAGCAGCATCGACAACCCCATAATCAATACCATCTGCACCACCATTATCAATGGCATCGTGAGGAGTAGTATCATCAGCATCATCATCAACAGCAGCAGCATCATCATCAACAGTAGCAGCAGCAGGAGCAACCATATTTATATTCAACTGCAGGAGTAAGTTTAGCATCGTCATCAGCAGCAGCATCAACATCCAGATCGTCATCATCAGCAGCAGCATCATAACGGCAATTTTCATAAGCAGCAGCAGCAGCAGCGGTTGTACTGTATCATCATCATCACGAGCAGCAGCAACGGTAGTAGTATTAGCAGCAGCCATTGTCTATCAACTGCTGGATGGATCCCACCCCGTTCTGCTGTATATACTGATAGTCCACGTGTGTGTGTGCTTGCCATTGTTCTGGCCAATATTAATGCCTTGCCACGCAACGATCCGCGTAACTTTGCATTTTATCTAAAGAATCGTGATCATGATGATGAACAAAGCAACAATAACAATAAACATCCATTATGCTGAATTCTGCGGTGTGACTGCGTAACTCTCCCACCACCACCTCACGAGAAACAATTCCCAGGTCCTAACAGCCTCCTCGCGGTACGAGTCATTGTCTTGGGATGCGGGAGGGGGGACAACGATGGTTAGCAAGTTCGGAGCGGAGCTGCGGCTGCGATCTTTGAGAGCGGAAACTGAGATGGGTGAATTTTGACTGAAAACTTTCTTGACCGCAGGAATTCGTATTCTTGGTTCGTTCGGTAAAGTCGCATAGATAGAAAATAAAAATAATTAAATTAAATTAAAATTAAAAAATAATTAAAATAAATTGAAAATAATAAAAGCAAAAAACCATACTCTTTGGTTCTGTTCGGTAAAGTCACGTAAAAGTATAAAAAACAAAAATAAAAAAATAAAAAATTCACGACGTTTCGGCCACAACACAAGTGGCACTTTAAGGCCACGCGTCGTGTCGACCCTCCCGACTACGCACGGTTGTCTACGAAACGATTCAAAAGACGATCGGCATTACGAAACGCTCGCTGGAAGGAGGTCACGGAACAGACCCTAGGGAACGGGACTGACCGACCGATTCGTCGATGTCCCTGTCCGCTATAGCAGGGGTCCCCAGCCCCGCACAGCAGCAGAAGGTGAGAGCGGTGAGTCCGCGCGTGGCCCGCCCCCATTATTTTATTATTTATCACTTCCCTCCGCGCCTCTTTCCCGCACTGGGCACTCGTCTCAGTCACAGTGTTGGTAAGCCCACAAGCTGACCCTTAGTAGCCACAATGAGTAAGACCACAAGCTCTAACCCCTAGTAGCCACAATGAGTAAGCCCCATTATTGTATTATTTACCACTTCCCTCCGCGCCTCTTTCCCGCACTGGGCACTCGTCTCAGTCACAGTGTTGGTAAGCCCACAAGCTGACCCTTAGTAGCCACAATGAGTAAGCCCACAAGCTAACCCCTAGTATCCACAATGAGTAAGCCCACAAGCTCTAACCCCTAGTAGCCACAATGAGTAAGCCCACAAGCTGACCCTTAGTAGCCACAATGAGTAAGCCCACAAGCTAACCCCTAGTAGCCACAATGAGTAAGCCCACAAGCTCTAACCCCTAGTAGCCACAATGAGTAAGCCCACAAGCTCTAACCCCTAGTAGCCACAAGGAGTAAGCCCACAAGCTCTAACCCCTAGTAGCCACAAGGAATAAGCCCACAAGCTCTAACCCCTAGTAGCCACAATGAGTAAACCCACAAGCTCTAACCCCTAGTAGCCACAATGAGTAAGCCCACAAACTAACCCCTAGTAGCCACAAGGAGTAAGCCCACAAACTCTAACCCCTAGTAGCCACAATGAGTAAACCCACAAGCTCTAACCCCTAGTAGCCACAATGAGTAAGCCCACAAGCTCTAACCCCTAGTAGCCACAATGAGCAAGCCCACAAGCTAACCCCTAGTAGCCACAAGGAGTAAGCCCACAAACTCTAACCCTTAGTAGCCACAATGAGTAAGCCCACAAGCTCTAACCCCTAGTAACCACAATGAGTAAGCCCACAAGCTCTAACCCCTAGTAGCCACAATGAGTAAACCCACAAACTCTAACCCCTAGTAGCCACAGTGAGCAATAAACAAACGTCGCTGGAGAGCTTCTATGAAAAGTGGGAAAGACCCAATGACGAACCCGCCCCGGTCCGTGAAGACAGTTGTCTTCCACGAAACCGGTCCCTGGTGCCAAAGAGGTTGGGAACCGCTCCACGAGAGCCGCGGGGATTCGTGACCCGCGAAGTCCTCTCCACTCACCCAGCACCCCGAAACAGCGGAATATTCACGAATTGAGTCCATCAAGTTTCCATTCCGTTCCGTTACGCAGAATAACTTTAGATATTCCCAAGTTCACCGGTCTGCTGGGCGTTCCGCTTCTAAGACGAAGGTCCGTTGTCCGAAACGTCGTCTATTATCTATTGTTTTAATTGTACGGCCCCACACACGGCGTTGTTGTTGTTGTCGTTGTATTCATGAACGTGCATTGTGTTTTGTTGTTACTTGTGCTTGAGGACCGCTGGGAACGCGGCAGCAGTTCGCAGCAATCGGCGAATCATTTGTCCCACGTGTCGCGGGATTTCGCAGCCGCTGCTGCTAAGCAGGCAGGCGGAGAGGTCGACGGACCACGGGATGAAGGGAACGCGGTCCAGGGGGGGGGGGGGAGGGGGGGGTTATGGAGCAGCGCACGCGCGAGGTCGGTGAGGGGGGGGGGAGGTCCGATCTTGTGACGAGAGAGAGCTGTTGTCTGTCCTATGCCGTGGATCTTGGGCCAAATGATCGAACGCGTCCTATCGGTACCGCGTAGGGTGGCAGAAGCTAACAAGCATTTTCTCGAAGAAGCTCATAACACAATCACAAATATCTATGATAGCAAGGTGACAATGGTAGTGTTTGTTTCTTTTAAATCAAAAGTTGTCATTAGATGAAACGTCTACCGTATGTAAATACATAGCAAAGTCTGTCCATAGACCAGGCAGTAGGTACGCTTAGCTTCTGGCCATAGTGCACACTGCCTATGATGGACACTGCCAATGGTGAACACTGTTCGTGGTGGACACTTTCCACGGTGGACAATGTCCATGGTGTACCGGAGCAATATGGGGGCGACGCGGTGGCGAGATGTTAACTACCTCGCCCGGTATGCACGAGGTTGTGGGTTCGATCCCGATCCTGACGACTGCTGTATATATTTGGATGTTTGCGCGTTCTCACCCCGTGGTCGCGGGGATTTATCTCCGGGTCCCTGCGGGTTCTCACCCCCCTACGTTGAGAAACGTGCGCTTCGAGTAATTTTGGCTGCTTAAGCCAGCATTGAAACGGTGGCAGCGCGGTGTTGGTGCAGCATCGACGTCAACGAGTCACGTTGACCTCTTGACCTTGACTCTCACCCGAATGTCATCTGGTCTGAACGCACGTCTGGATTCCCATCATCCACAGAAGATGCGGAGGCTAAACAAAGCTCGACACGTCCGTCAACATCGCTGTGTGGTCTTAAAAGGAAGGGAAAAAAAACAAGAGCAGACGACGTTTCGGGCAACGGCTCTTCTTCACGGAACATAAATAAGGCGTTAAAAACCCCCTTTATTAGGGATAGATATAGAGGCCAGTGGAGAGATTAGAGTAGTTGCTGAGAGTTGGAGACCGTACTTCTTTACACAACGAGGCCCTGATGATAGATACAAAAATAAACTAACGTATCCTGGAAGACGTAAGCTTGCCCTACGCACGATTTGAAAAAAAAAAGTTTGCCGGTACCTGACGATATATATTTATTTTAAAATAGCTCAACTCAATTATATAATCTCACCGCTTGATATTATCATCGGGGGCGGGTGAGGGCGGGGGGGTGATCGCCTTCGGCGTCAAATTCATCAGCTCGGCAATTGACCGAGACCTCCTGTGACCGCCTCCGCAACAGAGAACGAGTGGGGAGATAATGACCCCATTGCTAGCCGCGAGCTCTCAGTGCCGCGGTTGGCGCGCCTTCGTTTCCTGGCACGTGCCAGCAGCGATCATCGAAATCACTTTTATTTTATATTGCAGCTGTGACCGCGGCGGTCAAGGAGGGAGTCCGGTCAAGGATAGAATGCCTAGGGGTGGGGGTTGGGGAAGAGAAGAGGAACGGGAAGAGAGAAGAAGTAAAATAATTGGTAAATAAGAGGTATACGACGGGAAAGTAACGGAGAAGCGGAAGCGACGTGTCAGGCGGTGTTGAGAGGAAGAGGGCTACATCAGAGTCTCGATGCTGCTGCTGCTGCACGGAGGAGCGGCGTGTGCTTTCACAGCCTGGCGGCGGGGAGAACGGACGGGTTCAG